CGTTCGATCGCATGCACGCGGATCACACACGTGGCTCCGTCCCGCGTGGTCTCCCGCGTCAGCTTCCTTGTCACGCGGCGTGTTCTGGTTGGCTTGGGCTGCTGACGTGGCACAACTTTTCTAAATTGCATTTTGACCTCCGGTTTTTGATTTTCTTTTCAAAAATACTCCCAAAATCTAAAATTTCACCCATATTTTCCAAAATCAATTTCAAATAACTCAAAAAAATAATTTTACCCTATTTTATCATTATTATTATTTTTATTTTTATTAAATTAAATTAAACCTTATAAATTAAATATTAAAAAATTAAACTAAAATTATAATATAAATTAAAATAAATTAAAAAATAAAAATAATAAAATTTGGGTGTTACATTTGAGTTCATGAATGACAGGTTCACTTTTATGTATATAAAGATGAGAAATTTTTTTAATAACAAAAGAATATTCGGGATATGAAAGTTAAGATATGTATCACAGAATTTAATTTAATTATATAGGACACTTTCGTGAAGAAGTTAAAGAGGTCTTCAAGAAAATAGGACAACTGAAAGGGAAATACCAATAGAAATCAAAGAAATAAATCTCCTCATTTTAACACTCACCCGATGATCTAATTAAATTGAAGACCTCTATAGTATGTATGTCTATGATAAAATATTTGTTTTTGTATCCTTTTTAATTTAGACGCGAAATATTATTTAAAAAGAATTTAATGCTACCATTAAATCAATTTTTTTCACTCATTTTTCTTTATCGGTATGAAGAAGAACGTGATGCATAAATTATATTCATTGACTGAAAAAACAAATTAAAATCAACTAAAAGAGGATGAAAACAAAAGAACATGTCTAATGGTTAAAGTAAAATCACCGAAGAAAAAAAAGCATGATAAAAGATTACAAGAAAATAAAACCATAAAAAAAATTGATTACCTCTTAAAAAATGAGGTTAAATGAACTTTTGCGAAATGAGTTTTTTTTTTCTTAAATTCTACCACAATAAATAGATTATTTTATTACATAAATTGAATTAACAATATTATATTTTACTATATTTTTCATGCGAGAAACACACATATCTATGTCCTATTAGACCAAGAAATATAACAAATTAACCAACAAAGAGTTAACAAAACAAGCAACATCTCATATTTATTCATAAAATATTTACGAAATATAATAAAGTAATGTAGATAAATCTACTTATAATTCTTATTTTCTACTCTACACTTTCCTAAACTAACTTGAACATCTAAGTCATTGATTGAGTCATGAATACACATGATTTCTTTTGCATTTTTTTAATTATTGGCTCATTAAAAATCACCCAAAATATGTGTATTTTATGTTAAATATAAAAAAAAAATATTATATATAAGATTAGTATAATATGATGATATGACTTATTTTATTTTAATTTTTAAAATATTATTAAATAATATAAAAAGTAAAAATAAAATAATTATACATCTTTCTAAATTATAGAAGAAAAACGTAATCATGTAATATAAAATAATAATTAAATAAATAATGTAATTACAAAGAAAGTTAAAAATATATTAAAAAATTTTATACTTGGGAACTTTGACTACACAACTCAACATTATTGTGAGCTTACGTACTAAAATAATTATAAGAAAATCTCAAATAAGAACACAATCATATTTTTTTCAAAACAATTATTTAATTTCAAGGTAATAAAAAACGTTTCTAAAATTAAAAAAACAAAGAAAATGAAAAAGGAAACTATATATATACATTTAACTCCTGACTGGTACTTTGTTGCAACAGATAAAGCGCCCACGGTAACTTAAAAAGAGCTGAGCATTGTTGCTTATTTCTACCGTCTCCCTCCTTCCTCTTTCTTCTTTTAACAGCCGAAATCGAGGTAATAAAAATTCACAGATGAGGTACTCTGCTACAGAAATTCACTCTCTGCAAGTGCGTATACCTATTTACGAAATCATCCAAGCCTGTTTGTTTGGATTTGGTGGCAGAGAAAAAGAAAAAGAGTAACCGATTTTTTCTTTTCTGTTCTTTTTTCCTCTCACTCTACCTGTTTGATGATATGCCTGTGGAGAAAAGAGGAATTTTTTTTTTTTTTCTAATTTGAGTATGTATATGTTATTATCTCGTGTCAGATATTAATGGGTATTGCAGATTCGAGTGAGGGAGTGAGCAAGTTGGGAGCAGCATGAGGCTCTTTCATTTCCAGCTGTCCCTATTTGTGGCAAAGTAGTTGTTAGGGAGAATGGGACCAAAACCCAATTTGACCCATCCTGCCAAAATAACGCCTCCTTTGTTGATATTTCACCATAACCCATCAACGTCATCTATAATTTCTTTGTCTACCCTTTGTAAATTTCCATCATTCTCCTGACCCTTTTTTGTTTCTATCCTCTATTTTCTTTTCTTGATGCTACTTTGTCCGTTACTATCACTGTTTTAAGTGTTGATTAACTTCTTCCATCTCTAATTATGATTGATTATTCAACTTGTGATTGAGAATTTTATATACACCCAAAGAGCAGAAAGAAGGTTGTGAAGTGGGGATTTTTGAGTTAGGTATTTTCTCTTTTCACTTTCCTTTGTATAAGTTTGTCATATTAACTTTAGGGGAAAAAGTTCATATCTCTTTGTTGGTTGAAGTGTCAGATCCTTGATGGTGCCAGTACTATGATTGTAGGTAATCTTTCATTTTATGGCATTTTTTGGTGCCTCTGGAGTCCCCTTTTGGGAGTTCAGTAGTAAGATGGTAAAAAAAAAAATCTGTGATGATTTATTCAATTACCAGTTAAAAAGTCCTGGAATTACTGGAGTATATTTTTTAATTGTGTCAAAGTCAGACGGGTCAGTAAATGAATAGCTTCAATCCAGGGACCAAAACGAAGTGCGAGTTAGTGGGTTTTGTTATTTGGGTGTTGGAGAGTGACAAGAAGGTCGTCTTTTTTTTTATACTGGTTTGCAGACATGGTTAGGACTTAAGGTTGGAACCTTATCTATGCTAATAATATTTAGACAGTTTCTTTAATAATTATCTTAATTTTCTTTTTGGCAACAAGGATTCCATTTTCTTTTTCCGTTAATACTCGTGTCTTTTGAATAACCTTCAAAATTTTGATTTCATCTGCTAATCTTCACTATAGCCATAGGCGCAGTGCTCAGCAATCTTTCATGTTGTTGGCTTAGAGTTTTCATTGGCAATTGAAAGAGTTTTTGATTTCTAGTGATTCTACCTTCTTCGTAACTGACAGAAGAAAACAGGGCTGTAAAATTCCATTTTGAAACTATCATGGGTATAGTGGGAAAGTTTATGTGGGCCTGTGCTGTTAGAACTGTTATTATCAAGTAGGGTATTGGGTTAACTGGGTTTTTGTTGGAATTGGAAATGGAAATTTGAATGCTCTCTCTATCCATTGTAGCCTTCTGGGTTTTTCTTATTTGTACAGTTTCTCCCTTGTCTTTTTCATATCTCAACATTTTAAAACCCTAAATACCATAACTTATATTCGTCCTTGCATTAATTCTTTTTCTTTTTCTAGCTTTTGGGCTGCCATTTATTACATCTTTGATTTTATGGTTTTCAGATATTTCTCATGGTCTAACTGTACTTCTCGCCTTTTCATTCACCAATAGGTCAGCAATTCACAAGAGTCCAGTTTTTGAGTTGCAGTGGCAAAATCACCGTTGAATTCTTCACACACTTCAGTGGGTTTCTTGCTTCTCTTCTTTTGCTGTAATATCTGCCTTCTTGTCTACAATTGATCTGTTGCTGCGACCCACTATTGGGATAATTGGGATTGAATTTCCTGGGATTATTAGGTAAAAAATCTAGGGTTGTAAAGATTCTTGGGGTCCCTGATTTAGAGCAGTTTGGTGGGTTCACTCTTCTCTTCTTTTGTGTTGATATCTTGGGTGGTGGGTTGAGACCAGGATAGATGACTGTGGATGAAGCTGGGGGTAGCTCCTCATGGAGTAGAGAGCAGGATAAAGCATTTGAGAATGCTCTTGCAACTTATCCCGAGGACTCCACAGATCGGTGGGAGAGAATTGCTGGTGATGTTCCTGGGAAAACTCTAGAGGAGATTAAACATCATTATGACCTTCTGGTGGATGATGTTAACCGGATTGAATCAGGTTGTGTACCTCTTCCTGCCTATAATTCTTCTGAAGGTTCAACGAGCCAGGCCGGAGATGAAGGAACTGGTAAGAAAGGCAGCCATGTGGGGCATTACAGTGAGTCTAATCATGGAAGTAAATCAAGATCAGATCAGGAACGCCGCAAGGGGATTGCCTGGACGGAAGACGAACACAGGTGAATTTGTTATTTATTAATTTATTCGTTTTTCTTGTGTAGTAGATCATTTTGATACTTGCAAAAGTTTCTTGATAATGATGAAGATCTTCACCATGATTTTATACAATGCTTTATATCCTACATAATTGTGTCATTTGAAACTAGTTGTCTTACAGGTTGTATTAATATTTTTTAGGAATTAATTCTTACTAGTTGTTGGGGAATTTTGTTGATTATATTCTAGCAAGCATTGCCTAATGTTGTGCTTTGCATTTCTTCCAATATCTGCATCACTTGTGCAGGGGACCAGTTATCCCAAGTAACTGGTTCACGAATCTGCAAATGGTCTTTGGGCTATTTGCTTTTGCCATTCAAAATTGGATGGAGGCTGAGGCAGTTTATCATTTATGCTTTAGTTTGTGTTTATTTGCCAAAGCTAAAAATTCAAAGGAAAATAAGTACAAAAAGAAAACTCCCAAATCTTTAATTTTGTTGTTAAATGGAACAGAAATGTGAGTAAAAAGGTGATTATCTTACATTTGTAGAAAGAGATCTTTTCTGTGGTTCCTTGAGTCTGGTTGTGCACATTTTTGGTTTGATAACTCTCGAGTCTTTGCTTGAGAAACTTTTATAAGGAAAACTGATCTTATTGACGGGCATTGCATTTCCTCATACATTAAAAAGGGGAACATCAAACATGTTATCCTTATTGGAAATTTTATGGATCCCTAAGCATTTATCTTTTGAACATTACAGATTGTACTCCCCTGCCACATCCTTTTCTTTTTTCTGGGGTTCTTGGGGGATTATCTGTGTTGGTTTATCTTGTGTAGTTCCTTGGCTTTTGGCTTTGTTTGGTGTGCGCTTGCTTATGTATTCATTCTCCTATGGGAGGTCAACAAGGCTGTAACCTTTGTTCCTCTTTCCATCTTTTTGTTAGTTTCAAGAATAGAATGGGTTTTAGCGAGAATGACCGAGTATCTTTTTTTTTTCTCTCTTTTGTGGGATAAAAAGGAAAATTACCGAAGGGCACCTGGGGTGCCACCTGTTTAGAAGAATTTTTTTTTTTGAAATAGAAATATGATATATGTCCCTCTGATACAAACACCAAGATGGTACTAAGGTATATAAAAAAATATTTACATGTCAATCAAATTGTTAATGAGATCCCCTGAAGTCCTTCAAAGAACATAGAGGATGACCCGTAACTAAAACACACAGGGTTTAGAATCACCTATTTCTAATCCTATCTATATCCTCCTACACCCCCTTAAAAGCTGTCATATTTCTTTCTTTTTACACAACCCAAAAATAACAAAGGGGATGAGGCCACATGTTTTTTCGTCCTACAAATACCATCCCAACCCCAAATCTCATCCCTAACTGTACGAACCATAATCCAACTAATCCCTAGGAACTCATAAGCCATGATCCAAAGATTGTACGTGATTGGACATCTCAACAAAACATGATTACAAGTCTCCTCTACTCTCCTACATAGAGAATTGTTGTTCACTATTATCTTGCCATTTTTTTTGAGATAAAAAACATGTATATTACGTAGAAGATTGTACATATTATCTTGCCCTTCTCATTAGTTTATCAATAGTGAGAATGCAAGCTCAGCCTCCCAAGCAAAGAAGGCCACTCTCATAGGGGCATTTACCTTTCAGATTTGCCGAATAGGAAACTTGGTTTCAATGAGGTCATTCTTGCTCAGAAAATTAGAGGAAGACCTAACTGTAAAAATCGCTGCAGAGTTGAGGCTCCAAATGGTTGGTCATTACTCCCATTCAAGGATATAGAGGCAAGTGAATTCAGGAAAGTTTCATATTCATCAATCTCCCAGTCCAACCTCTGAATGACTCACGGACAGAAATATTCTTGTGTCGTGGCAATTGCAAAAGTATAGGAAAACCTGTCTCTGAACCCTCCCCAAGCCAACAGTCCTTCCGAAAGCTTGTTCTCATCTCATTGCCAACATTCCACCTGATGCATCCCTGAAAATTATGCCTTCCTATGCTTATTCTTTTACACACCCATTTCTTATACGGTCTTGACATCTCTTTCAAGTACCAATCTCCATCCATGGTACCAAATTTTGCCTCTATCATCCTCTTCCAAAGAATGCCATTTTCTACTATGAGCTGCCAAATCCACTTTCCTTGGATTGATGCAATAGTCTTTTCACTTCTTCCCATGCCATCACTTGTTTAGAAGGGAATTACATAAGATCTTGACGAAAAAGTTCTTAATGTTTCCCAAAGCTCATCATTTAATATAGGATGCCCTAGTATCAAGTTCTTTCTACAAGGAAGATAGTTACATGCTAATCTTGGGTGAAAGGATGCTTTTTTTTCTTTTTTTTTTTTACTAAGAAGATCTTGCAATGTTTAAGGATTTTTGGATTGTATGACTGATACCTTTATCTTTTGGTGGAGAAAAGTTATTTGTTTCCTTTTAAGAATATCGCACATATATTTTTTCCATGATTGTCATGTTGTTTGAGGAAATGCTCTATGATGTTTACACAAAAATTTAAGCATGAGCATTCTGTCTCTTTGACTGTTTGATTCCTTCGCTTCAACTTTCAATTCTAACATTAATAGAATTGAGGATAAAGTATAGTTTCACTCCTATCATCTGATCTAAATGCATTTCAATCTTTGTATGTGTGTTTTTTTGTCAGAATTTAGTATGCTATGGTTCGATTTTTTGTCATTTACGTAAATTAGTCTTTTTTTGGAGGACATTTGCTTTTATTTGGACTTCCAGATAAGAAAACAGCATTTAACACCTAACCATAGCAAAACTAGGGAAAAATACAAAATGATAATAGCTTAAAAAACTAATGATTTTATGTCTAATGACACAAATCTAAGCCACAGGAGACTGAACTATTGTTAGAAAATCACGTAGATTGAACTGCAATTAGAACTATGGTTTTGGGATAAAACTGTAATTTTTCCCAGAATTTGGAAAACGATTTTAAACATTTAAGTATTCATGGAGTTTCTACCTAGATCAACCTTAAGCAGTGTGCGGAGAACTATGTTGGGAACTCAAAAATGAAGGTAAGACCAAGAGAGATCTTGCAGTACAGCAAAATATTACTAATGAAATCAGATGCAAATGCCTCATTCATGTCAATGTTTGCTGATTCTGAAATGCACTGCAGTAGGTATACATGCACCATCCTCCAAGCCAATTGGAATTGGAGGTTGTAGTTTTAAGATTAATTTGGATGAGTCGTATTTGGACATACCAAGAGCCTTTTACTCTAGTGGTGCGTCTCTCCATCCTAGATCCGTAGTGAATGAGGTTACATGGGTCCAACGCCCCCTCGCGACAAGGCCACTGCCCTTAACCCCAAAAAAAGTCATTTATGGTAACAAGTCATTTAGACCATTGCACTTAATCAGAGCATGACTGCACCTTTCAAGCTAATTTGGAAATCTAAAGCGGCCCCTAAAGTGGCGTTTTTTTACTTGGGAGGCGGTGAGAGATAGCATTTTGACTATTGACATGTTAAAAAGGAAAGGAAACATTATGGTGAGTAGATGCTACTTTTGTGAAGCTGATGAGGAATCTTGTTACCATTTATTGCTGGGCTGTTCAGAAATTTTGACTTTTACTCTAGTGGTGCGTCTCTCCATCATAGATCCGTAGTGAATGAGGTTACATGGGTCCAACGCCCCCTCGCGACAAGGCCACTGCCCTTAACCCCAAAAAAAGTCATTTATGGTAATAAATCATTTAGACCACTGCCCTTAATCAGAGCATGACTGCACCTTTCAAGCTAATTTGGAAATCTAAAGCGGCCCCTAAAGTGGCATCTTTTACTTGGGAAGCGCTGAGAGATAGCATTTTGATTATTGACATGTTAAAAAGGAAAGGAAACATTATGGTGAGTTGATGCTACTTTTGTGAAGCTGATGAGGAATCTTGTTACCATTTTTTGCTGGGCTGTTCAGAAATTAACAGCATTTGGGCGATGGTTTTTGGGCTGCTGGGGTTGGTTTGGGTTAGGGCTGGTAATGTAAGTGGGGAACTTTGGGCTTGGGCGGGATATTGTAAAAAGAATATGCATCGTTTCTTTATTCCACTCACCATTTTTTGGGTAGTGTGGAAGGAAAGAAATGCGAGAGCGTTTGAGGGCATTAAAATTAATATTATAAACATTAGGGATAGATGGTTTCATACTTTTGAGTCTATCTTGTTAGGTCATGATGTACATGATTGGAAAGACATTGGATTAGTTATGGACCACTTGATAAATATGTAACTATTTTGTATATGGGTGATACTCTCTCGATACTTTTCTGAATAATATTTTTCACTTTTATTTCAAAAAAAAGAAGTGCTAATTCAGTATGTGCAATCTTCATGAATAGAAGGTACTATTTGTTTTATTAAAAAATAATCCTGTCATCTAAGAAGAGAATGAATGTAGAATTAAAATTAATGGAGCTCCTCATGTGGGCTCAATTATTACAGGTATGAGATTGAATTTGATGCTGCGGCATTTAATTTAATTATTTTCTCCTTGGGTATAGCTCTATATATATGAATTGCTTCTCTGAAAATATTGTCCGTATCCTCTTATTGTCAGTTAGGACTTTCTTATATGAAATATTTTGAAGTCTATAAGGTTTCCATTATTGTGGGAAACAAATAAGGGTTGTGATTTTATTGATTCTTTTCTTTTTTCCCCTTTCTCTTTGATTCAGTGTAAGAATGAAAAGATAAATCAATGGATTTGGTCCTTTTGATGCAACTGTTCAATTGCTTTCTTTAATGTTTATTTTTTTTCTTAAATTATACTATATCTTTTTAGTTCACCAAAGACTTTACTGATTCTTTTTTGTTTTTTTGTTTTTTCCCCTTTCTCTTTGATTCAGTGTAAGAATGAAACATAAATCAATGGATTTGGTCCTTTTGATGCAACTGTTCAATTGCTTTCTTTAATCTTTATTTATTTTTCTTAAATTATACTATATCTTTTTAGTTCACCAAAGTCCTTTTTATTATATTAACTCACTAAGA